CTTTGAAACCTTAGGCCCACCTGTTAAAATCAACTTCATTAAAGCCATGTGTCCTGATGGTGATGCTACCTTTTTGCTTTTGTTTTCATTAAATGTTTGTGGTGGCTCAGTGAGACGTGTTTGGCACTGTAAAGTCATGGTAGTAATAGTTCTTTGAAGTTCTTTCTATTATCTGTGAGTAAAACTCAGACTTTTCAAAAGAGTAAGGGTTAGCTCTAGGGCTGAACTTCCTTTCCCCACAACCTTGCCAAACTTCTGTGTGCTTTGTTGTAAAGTATGTTGCAGGGGAAAAAGAGAAGAGTATAATTGTAGGAATTAAAATATTCTTTACAACTGCAGATCTTTGCTTTGAGATGTAATATTGGGAACTGGGGTCTTAAAGTGTGGCTGCTTCATGGAAATTGGGTCACATTCATCAATCACAGATGCAGGTTTTATGGCTCTACATACACTCAGTGAACTTCTACAAATCTAAGTAAAATAAAAATGTGAAAACATTCTTCAGAAAAAGCTAGTCACTTAACATTAATAAAATCCCATTGATTATTTATTTATTTGCTGCCTAGAATTACCAAAAAATGTAAGTAGTTTTAGTCACTGTTACTGGAATAGATTACTAGTTCAAAAGTTACTAATGCAAAAGGTCTAACCATTTCACTAGTGCTTTAGTTTTGTGACTGTTATGCAGAGCCAAAAACTACAGAGAATTATTATCAGGCATTTTTTTTTTAGAAGAGAAAACCAGGATCCCTAATTATTATGTACTGCTTATGTTATGGGGACTACCTAAATATACATATTGGGTGTTGGGCATAAAGCATGAAGTGATAAGCCCCAATGTAAAAAAAACACATGCCTAATTTTAAACAAGTAAGAAGTGCTTACAAGGACTCCCAGGAAGGTGGAAGCTGGAAGCTTGTGACCTCTGGCAGCAAGCAGAAATCTTTTATCTCCATGCACAGCAGTTTGTCTGGAAAATAGATGTGGAGCCCTAACAACAGAGGGCAAGGAGCATGTTCCATTGGTGCAGAAGGATAGGCCAGGCCTCCCCAAGATGGGAAGGATTAAGATGACTGTCACCAAGAAGAAGTGATGGGTGGTGGTGGTTGAAGACTCCATTCTGCAGGGGATGGAGGGATCCATCTGCCAACCTGACCTGTTGTCTCTGGAAGTCTGCTGCTTGCTTGGAGCCCAGATCCATGATGTCATGGAGATATCACTGAGACTCATTCGGCCCCATGCTGCTCATCCATGCGGGCTCCAGTGATACTGCCTAGGAAGACCCTGAGCAGATAAAAAGTGACTACAGGGCTCTGGGTGCAAGGATAAAGGGGGCAGGGGCTCAGGTGGTGTTCTCTTCAATCCTTCCAGTCGAGGGAAAGGGCCTGGGCAGGAGCAGGTGCATCCTGCAGATCAATGCCTGGCTATGCAGGTGGTATCACCAGCAGGGCTTTGGCTTCTTTGACCATGGGATGATGTTCCAAGAAGAAGGATTGTTGGGAAGAGACGGGATCCACCTGACGAAGAGAGGGAAGAGCATCTTCACAGACAGGCTCCCTAACCTGGTGAGGAGGACTTTAAACTAAGTTCATCATGGGATGGAGACCAAAGCCCTGAGGTAAGTGGGGAAGAGGGAGATATGGAAGAAGAGCAAGCAGAAGGGGGCTTCAGGGGAGGTGCTCTCGTATTTCCTGGGAAATCAGGGTGATCAACTGGTCACCTCAGGTGCCTGGACATGAAGGCACAGAGCCTGGGAAACGGGCAGGAAGAATTGGAAGTCCTTGCACAGTTAGGGAACTATGACGTGATTGGAATAAGAAAGACTTGGTGGGAGCTCACCTGATTGGAGCAGTGTCATGGATGGATACAAATCTTTCAGGAAGGACAGGCAGGGGAGAAGAGGAGGAGTTCCACTTTATGTAAAAGAGTCATATGATTGCTCAGGGCTTCAGTATGAAACTGGAGATAGGCCTATTGAAAGTCTCTGGGTTAGGGTCAAAAGAGAGAGTAACAAGGGTGATGTTATGGTGGGGATCTACTGTAGACCACCAGACCGGGAGGAACTGATGGATGAGGATTTCTTCAAACAGCTAGCAGAAGTTTCCCAGTCAGAGGCCCTGGTTCTCATAGGGGACTTCAATCACCCTGACATCTGCTGGGAGGGCAATACAGCATTGTGCAGGCAATTCAAGAGGTTTTTGGAGTGTTGAGGTCAAATTCCTGGTGCAAGTGCAGGATCGGCCAAATAGGGGCATGCTCTTCTTGATCTGCTGCTCACAAACAGGGAAAAATGGGTGGGGAATGGAGTAGCGGATGGCAACTTAGGCAGCAGTGACCATGAAATGATTGACTTCAGGATCCTGAGGAATGGATGGATGGAGAGCAGCAAGGTAAGGACCCTGGACTTCCAAAAAGCAGACTTTGACTCACTCGGGGAACTCATGGGCAGGATACTCTGGGAAGCCAGTCTGATGGGGAGAGGAGTCCAGGATCACTGGCTATATTTTAAAGAAGCCTTACTGAGAGTGCAGGAACAAACCATCCTGATGTACAGGAAGATTAGCAAGTATGACAGAAGACCGGCTTGGCTTAGCAGCGAACTCTTTAGTAAACTAAATCACAAAAAGGAAGCTTATTAAGAAGTGGAAACTTGAACAAACAACAAGGGAGGAGTATAAGAATATTTCTTGGGCATGCAGGAATGAAGTCAGGAAGGCCAAAGCACAATTGGAGTTACAGCTGGCAAGGGATGTGAAGGGAAACAGGAAGGGTCAGTCACAAGAGGAGGATCAGAGAAAGTGTGAGTCCCTTACTGAATGGGGGAGGCAACTTAGTGAAAGAGGATGCAGAAAATGCTGACATACTCAATGCCTTTTTCACCTTATTTTTCACAGGCAAGATCAGCTTCTAGACTAGTGCACCTGGCAGCACAGTTTTGGAAGGAGGTGGTGAGCAGTCAGCAGTGATGAAAGAACAGGTTAGGGACTTTTCAGAAAACCTGGAGGTATACAAGTCCATGGGGCCGGATGGGATGCACCCAAGGGTGCTGAAGGAGTTGGCTGATGTGATTGCAGAGCCACTAGCTATCATCTTTGAAAATTCATGGCTATCAGGAGAGATCCCAAATGATTGGAAAAGGGCAAACATAGTAACCAAATTTAAGAAAGGGAAAAAGGAGGATCCAGGGAACTATAGACCAGTCAGCCTCACCTCAGTCCCTGGAAAAATCATGGAGCAGATCCTCAAGGAATTCACTTTAAGCATTTGGAGAATGTGATTAGGAACAGTAAACATGGATTCATCAAGGGCAAGTCATGCCTGATGAACTTGATTGCCTTCTATGATGAGATGACTGGCTCTGTGGATGCAGGGAAACCAGTGAATGTGGTATACCCTGAATTTTAGCAAGACTTTTGATATCCCACAGCATTCTCACAGGCAAGCTAAGGAAGTACGGGCTGGATGAGTGGACTGTAAGGTGGATAGAAGACTGGCTAGAGCATCGGGCTCAGAGCGTAGTAATTAATAGATTGATGTCCTGTTGGCAGAGTGCCCCAGGGGTTGGCCCTGGGGCTGGTTTTGTTCAATATCTGCATCAAAGACCTGGAACATGGCATAGAAATGCACCCTCAGCAAGTTTGCAGATGACACCAAGCTGGGGGGAGTAGTAGATCTGCTGGAGGGTAGGGCTAGGATTCAGAATGACCTTGACAAGTTGGAGGATTGGACCTCATGAGGTTCAACAAAGACAAGTGCAAAGTCCTGCACTTAGGACGGCACAATTCCGTGCACCAGTACAGGCTGGGGGCTGACTGGCTGGGCAGCAGTTCTGCAGAAAAGGAGCTGGGGGTTACAGTGGACAATAAACTGAATATGAGCCAATAGTGTGCCCTAGTTGCCAAGAAGGCTAACAGCATACTGGGCTGCATTGGTAGCAGTGTTGCCAGGAGGGCAAGGAAAGTATTTATTCCCCCTTATTCAGCACTGGTGAGGCCACATCTGGAGTACTGTGTTCAGTTTTGGGCCCCCACTACAGAAAGGATGTGAACAAATTGAGAGAGTCTAGTGGAGGGCAATGAAAATGTTGAAGGTGCTGGGGAACATGACATGAGGAGAGGCTGAGGGAATGTCTTATTTAGTCTAGAGAAGAGAAGACTGAGAGGGGATTTTGTAACAGCTTTCAGCTACCTGAAGGGAGGTTCGAAATTAGATGGAGCTAGACTGGTCTTACTGGTGGCAGATGACAGAACAAGGAGCAACAGTCTCAAGTTGCAGCAAGGGAAATTTAGGTTAGATATTTGAAAATCATTTCTCATAAGGAGGGTAGTAAAACACTGGAACAGGTTACCCAGAGAGGTTGTTGAATCTTCATCTTCGGAGGTTTTTAAGACCTGGCTAGACAGAGCCTTAGATGGGACCATTTAGTTGGGGATGGTCCTGCTTTGAGCAGGGGGTTAGACTAGATGAGCTCCTGATGTCCCTTCCAACTCTATTTTTCTATGATGTCTATGAATCCAAGTAGTTCGGATGTTTGCTGTGTTAGACTGAAGCCAGGCAGAAGGCAGGGCAGTAGCTTATGGACTAATTGGTTCAGAGGCATGTCCTTTCATATGTGTCAGCTTACTTTGTCAGATGCTGAATTCTTCAGTTTCATTGCATCTGATGAAAATTGTTGTCTAAGAAAGCCTCTCTGAACAAGTTTGTCTCCAAGGTGCCACCTGCCATACCTTCTAAGCCTGTGAAATAATCATGTTGAAATTGGTGATTGCTCATGCTTAAGCACTTGGCTAAGTGGGGCCACCCTCCTTCTCCCTGAAGTTCTGAATCTAGGAAGGTGAACAGTGGGAAAGGGATGGGCAAAGAAGGATAAAACATACAACCAACCATGTACATAAAATTGTATATCATAACAATCTGCAATATTTTATTTTGTGAGATGATCCTTTTTGCTGAAAAAAAATCTTTGCAACTAACACATCCTGTAAAAATGTTTTTAACAGGTTGTATCAATCAGTAAAAATTCTGTACTCCTTCGGGATTTTTGTGACGTACTCAATTCAGTACTACGTTCCAGCAGAGATCATCATTCCAGCCATCACTTCAAAAGTGCAGCATAAATGGAAGCTTTTCTGTGAACTAGTGGTGAGGATTCTCTTAGTCTGCTCAACCTGTAAGTACACATGCAACCTTTATTGAGATTCTTGCTGTTAAATGTCTTAGAACATGCATTCTTGAAAGGAGGTTTCATTCTGAGCTATTGTTAGAGGGGAGGAGTGGGCCAATACAAGACTTCATTGCAAGTGCTTATTTTCTGGATTTAATTAAAAAAAACAAAAAAACCAACCATCAGTACCGCAGTCTTTGGTTTGATTTATGGTATGACAACTTCTGGGTGAGTCAGACTGATGGAGACTTTGACAATGTAAGTCTCTTTTGGCAATAAATTTGCCATCCTTATTACAACACAGTGGCGTAACAAGAAGTATTTGCACCTTTAGCAGTAGCAGTTAGCATCTACTAGGATATGCTGTGTAATGCGTGGGAGATGGGTCAAGTTACATGTCTTCCATTTTCAGTCTTGGATCCTTTTTCTATAAGGAAGATTTTGCAGATTTTTTGGATTACTTTGCTATGAGTCAGTATTTTGTCCATTTACATGAAGGCAAGGTAAACTCTTCAAACTAATTTCAAGTAAGGAGATGGGTTTAAACTCCAAGCCTCCCTCCCCCTATCCACCCTTCCTCCCTGTGGGGAAAAAAAATAGTTGAAGAGAATGAATGAGAGATTGTATAGCAGGACCACACTGCTGCTTGCTACTCTCTAAATTTCAGTGATGGGATATGGTAGAACAGGTGCAAGGAAAGGCCAAATGTTTTACTGGAGTATTTGAAAATGTTAACTTTTTGATTGTAGCAATGCACTTGATGAAAAATCATGTGATAAGGCTTTCCTCTCTTAGCAGCTATGATATTTATGGCCCTATAATGGGAGCAACAGTGGTTCTTTTCCTTTGGTACTTGGCATTACATTATTTCTATGCAGATTGTACAAATGATATGCATTTGGCAAGCACATTATGGGTAAGAGGCTCATTCAGTAATGTCCCTGAGCTCTGGAAGGATCCTCTGATTTGTTGTTTCTGCACCAAAAGATAACATTGGAGTAGAGGAAAGAGGGAGGAACTGGCACCCATTTTGTCTTGGATGGTTTCCACCTCTATCTTGTCTTCTTGGTTTCACTGCTTGCTTTTTTATTTCCTCTTCTTTCTCTTTCTCTCTCCTTTTCCCCCTTCCTATCCTATGTTCTTTTTCCCCTCCTATCCTATGTTTGCCTTTCAGCATCCTGTAGGCTTTGCATCCTGTTTCTTCCATGGTTCTCCACATACAGAAACGTTGGATGACACTCCTTTCACTCCTCCCAAGTCTCCAGTTATTCTTACCTTCACTTCCCCTTCTTGGTTTTTTTTTTTTTGAACATTCAGTTGTGATGCTTGTGGCACTACCCCAGCTGCCTTTGTCCTCTTTTAAACCATAAAATATGTGGCTTCAAAGTATTCCTACATTGGTACTCTTCTCATTTTTACATCTCTATTACTTCCTTACCTGGTGTCGTGGACCTTAACAGGCAGCCAAGCCTGGAGTAATTGCCCAGCTGGCCAAACCTGCCAAAAGCCATACATAATTAATCAGGTGGCCACTGTTGAGGCTTTCTGATTGGCTACTGGGGAGAGCAGACTCCTCATTTTAAGTCCACCTGTGGCAACAGACTGCAGGCTAGATAACAGTTCTGCCTGAAGAGCTGATGTGGTAGGCTTTTTTGCATCCCATGTTTTCTGGTTTTATGGCTTCCTTCCTTGCTTTGTTCTGCCTCTAGACTTTTGCTTTTGGGAACTCTGCTTTGCTTTGATAATTTTGGTCTCGACCCCTGAACCTTGACTTGGCTTTGGACTCTGCCTCTGGATTTTGCCTTTGGATCTGGTAACTTGATCCCTGATTCCTGACTCTGACCTGGCTTGTGATTTGGACTCTGCCCTTGGGTCCTGCCTTCCCCCAGTGGTCTACATACTAGGTCAGACCACCTACGTCCAGGTCCTCACACCTGGATAGTTAATACAGATTTGTTTGCCCAAGAGCAAGGCAGACAAGTACGTCTCTTGTACTTACACTGCAGTAACTTTTAACCCATTGTCACTGCTCTGCGTTTACACCCATCTTCTAGTTTTATCCTTTTTTTTTTAAATCAGGCACTGGTTATAATCAGGAATTGGTTACAACACTGCTTCACTCTTGCCAAGAACTAGACATGCTTGCTGAAGCAATTTAGAAAGAAGCTTTTTTTAAATCAGGTTAACAGTAACAATATTTTTAAAACATTATTGAATGGTATCTGTGACAAAATATATTGTAATGTCTGGACTGTGTAGAAGCCCTAAAGGGACTTTTGCCAACTTAAACCCATCTGCTAGAAACAAAAAAAGAGTTTATGATACTAATAACACATTAGATTTTTAACTGAGAATTTGAGAAATCCAGTTAATCTTTCATGATGGCATTGATTTTTTTTTCCTTCCATTTTTCATTTCTCAAATCAGAATCAGACAAGTCATCATTTTATTGTTTTACAAGTCTACTAGTGTTAGAGTGATGCTGTAGCCATGATAGTCCAGAAATTATGCGAGACAAGGATTTTTTTTTTTAATCTGATATTTTTTTATTGAACCAACTGAATGGTTGGAATAAAATTAGGCAAGCTTTTGAATGCCATAGATTCACTTCCAAAAAAACGTTACAAATCTGCTAGACATTTAACAGAAAACTGGCATGTGGTCACTGCCCAAAGAAGTTTGTGTTAAGTGAAGGAGTTGACAAACAAGTACAGAGAAGATACATCATGAAGAAGAAATAACATGAGGTGAGGGACACAAGATTGTGCAATTAGACCATCAGACCTACATGCTTCCAGATGATACAGATGGATTTTATTTTTAATATAATGTGTAGTCCCTTGTAGGATTCAAAACCTCCAAAGTGTATCACTGAGCACCTGGAAAAAAAAGCAAGCGTATTTACTTTCTTTTGTTCTAAAACCCTTATTTGGCTGGAATTTTTGAATTATTGGAATATTCCCATTAGTGATAGATCTTAAGCATGTATTAAAATAATATTGATCTGCATGTATGTAGACAGTACTCATTTAATTGGTAATATTGTATTGAACCTTTGACTTCATTTATGCAGCATGATACAAAAACATATTTTTATGCTGCAACAGGTTCTCAAGCTGTAACTTATGGTGAGTGTATATATAATGTATATTATCTATTCAGATAAAGATCCCAAGCAGGCTTACAGGCTGTCCTGCATATTTAACTAGTTACATTCTAAACTTATATTTTTCCTTCAGAACCTCTCTTTTCTACAATTGCATCTGAGGCCATGTACAGATGTACTTTTGAAGCACTCCAATTTGGAGCGCTTCCCATTTGAAGCATTTCAGTGTAGTGCAAATGTGCAGCCTGTAGCCATATCCCTCTGCCAGAGTTAACTTCAAGTTAACTGTGGCAGCTTGCAGTGGCAGTGCTCTTTAGCTTGGGGTATGTTAAGGTGATGATACTCATTGTCCTAGCATCCCACAGTGCTCTGTTGCCCCACAAGCTGTCTATAGCAGGGGGTGTAGCCTTCTTTCTTGGATCTCTCGAGTGTATTTTAACAACTTTTGCAGCACCAGGACACTGACCACCATTGTCCCCCGCTTTATCCATAGGATGTTAGGATGCTCCGTCTTGTGGTTGTGAGACAGGGTTGACTGTGTTGGTTAGACATGGATTTGTATGGGATAGTTTGGATAGGGATGATCCTACCTTAAGCAGGAGGTTGGTCTAGATCAGCGGTTCTCAACCTTTTGCACCCTGAGACCCACCAACCATTTTGTAAAAAAAAAAACCCTGGTCCCACCATGATAAAAACAAAACCCTATTTTTTCCAGGAAGTGTATTTTTTACATTTTATTGGTATAATTGTGCAAACAACTTTGATTTTTTTCAATTGGGCAATGAGTTCCACGTACATGATGCATCCCACTGGTTGAGAAACACTGGTCTAGATGATCTCTAGAGGTCCCTTTTGAGCCATACTTTTCTGTGATTCTATGAGAGAGAGGTTAACTGCAAATGAGTACAGTACTCTCCTATATGCTGGGAAGTCCTTGGTAACCTCTGTAGCCTGTGAGGCCTGCAAGGATTCCTACTCTCCAGCCCCCTGCCTAGAGACTGGGAATGCTTTGGCCTCTGATCTCTTGAAAAGATGGGAGCGGAGCAGTGTGAGATGCTGTAGAACCAGACAACCCCTTGTCACATTTCATGGAATTTCAGGAAGTGCTTCAAAGATGTTCCTTATTCTTTTGAGGATCATATTTGAAGTACTTCTTAGGTTATGAACATTTGTATGCTTGCTGTGTGGAGTTTCTCAAAACATTTATGTGGGTCCAGGGCCACTTTACTTTCCATTTTTGAAGGCAGCTTTTATCTGTCTTGGAGACAGGATATAGACCCTCTGCTAAAGTCCTTTTCATTGCTGCTTTGTGGATTAATAGGCACATTTATAGTTTTTTCATGGTTCACTTACAGCTTTGTTCACAAAGTACAAAAGTCTGGTGATCATGGAGTGGCCATTGAAAGATTTCTCCAGCCTAATTTTTTCTGATGGTGTTCTGTGTGCAGTTCTCCCCCTTTCTTTCTTCCTCCCTCCCTCCCTCCCCGCCCCCCCAAATAAAAATAAAAATAAAGGGTTCAGCATATTGAAATCAACAGGAAATGCAGGAGTCCACCACCTTTGCCAATCATGCCACAAGCCCATATAGACTTTTAGAGAGATCCAGGGCACATATTAACAAGCACAAGAAAAGACTTTGCAATTCATCTTCTACCAGAAGAGTCGAAAGATTGAGTTGCTTTTGCTGCTGGTGTTAACCGAATTGCGTAAAGGTGTAATCCTGAAATAAAATATCTTGATGGAAGCAGTTAAGCTACATGGAAATAAAGGAATGAAAATACCATGAGGAAAAAATGTAAGCAATAGTTAGTTTTTAAAGATCAATGATTGTTTGATACCTTGTTTTCAAAATAAGTAATGAATTTTTTTTCATGACCCAGTGAAGACTGATGAAATGCACTTTGCAGCATATGATGAAAAGGCTGGAGCTCAGAGCTAATAGTATCTTTTATCTTTGTGAGAAATAAATATGTAAAAATACCTTGTATGAGAGATTTGTTGCAGAACTGTGAAACTGCTCTTAAAACTGAGAGTAAGGAAATATTTAATTGAATTGCTGACTTTGAGGAGTTAGCAGAACTAAGGGAAGTTTGGATTAAACTAATTGAACTGTACTTATCCAATTGTATTTATGAAATGAGGTACTAAAAAATTACTTTCCTAAAAAAATTCAGTGTGAGCTGCTGCAATTTTACTAGGTGATCACCATATTTACCCAAATCCAAGATGACCTTGAATTTAAGATAATCCTCCTTCCCCCCAGTTAGATTCTATACTTGGAAAATTATAAGTTTGTTATAAGTGGTGGAGAAGCAATGGTTGGATGGGGGGCAGGCAGCCTGACCCTGGCCTCTTGTCTGCCTACACTTTATCCCCCAGGCCACGTGCCACCCCCTGGTGCCTTCCCCTCTGGCCACTTTGCCCTTCTGGTGCCTGTCACCCCTGTCCCTTGCTCTCACCCACTGCTGCATGCTATGCAGCTGGGTGCCTCTGTGCTGGGTCCCATGGTGCCCCAATGCCTCACTTTGTGGATTCCCACTGTCTCTTGTGACTGCAGGTACTGGATTGTTACTTGATACTCAGTTCTAATATGAGGTTTTATTTTCCCCATGTTGAATGAGGGGAAATTTGAGTAAATGTTAAATTCATCATTCTGTTTAAATTCAGTTAGTTTCTGTCTATTTTTTCCCATTTATCACAGGCCTCATTTAAACAATGAAAACTTTTGGCTTTGAATATTTGGGAATCAGACAAGATGGAATACAGTCAGGTTTTTGATGAGTGTCTGGTGAAAATGCCAGTATTTGTGACCTGAAATATATCAACAAAATACTTCTTTAGATTAGTTACAGCACAGGTCAGAGGAAGAAACTAAAATAAAATTCAAAGCCTTAAATGTTCTACAGAGGATTTAACCTGCATATATAGAATTAAGAGATTAAATCATTTCCTTAGATGTTGCATGTGCATTAATCATGGATGGCATTTTTGAGTAACAAATGTCTTTCCTATAGGCAAGAATGAGTAACAAAAAATAAATTGAATCATTACTGTAGTAAAAACAAACATATTTGTGCATGAATAGCAAATGGAGACTTTAAACAAGGAAAAGTTTATGAAGAGTCAATAAAAGGAAATGATATAGGGCTGCTATAATGCCATTAATTGTTTCATGATATTTGTAATTTTGATTTTCTTTTTTTTTTTTCCTTTTGGATTTGTGTGTGTGTGTTTTATTGGTTACACAGGAAGCATAAGAATACTTCTACTTCTTTATTCGAAGGTTTGGATTTAAATTTCATTTAAGAAATAGGAACATATTCTTAACATGTTTCTAATTCTATACTGAGTTGCCAAAGATGAGAAAAAGGTTACTTCTACTTATTCTGGTATCTTTGGAGAAAGAATTAGCCATTTAATGCCAAGTCTGTGTCCTGACCAACATTTCTTTTTCTAGTAATAGTAACATATACATAATCACTAGCATAGTTATTTGTTGCAGTATATGGAATATTGTTGGAATATAATAGCTCTTGTACTTTATAGCAGTTTGCGCATTTAACATTTTATAGGTGGATTTGGCAGATATATAGCAAATACTCTAGAGAGCCCTTTATTATATTGATTCAGGCTAGAAATGTTTTTCATCATAAGTTGATGTAGGGAATGTATCTTATGGAATCATTTTTTAGCAGTATATGGATTTTTTTTTTAATTGCAAAAATAATTTTAAGACTACTCGCAAAATAGCTTGAAATAGGTTGAGCACCTCTGTTCTAGGCCAGGAATTGTCAACTGGGTACTTGGGAAGGACCTAGGGGGTATGTGCAGGTGGGCAGGGACGGAGCGCTGCTACCCTGCGTTGCCACCTACCAGGAGTGGGGGGGCGAGGGGGGGTGGGGCAAGGACAGCAGCACCTCTCTGTGGAGCACACAGGCATCACCCAGCCAGCTGGATACGGAGACGGGGTGCAAGAAGCACGCACATAGCGGCTGCCATCCACCACCCCTTGATGCTGCCAATTCACTTTCAGCAGCGTGCCACCCTCTTTCCACCTCCCCCCACCCTCTGTGTCTGGCCACTGGGGGGGTACACTTATTAAAAAAGGTTGAAAACTGCTGTTCTAGGCCATCTGGCTCCCTTACCAGATGAGTGGTATGGGACAGGTCTACAGGCCAGATCCCACATACAGGACTCACACATGATGGCTAGTCTTCAGGTGCACTCCAGCCATGGAGTGACTCCATATGCTGGCCTAACCTTGCATGTCATGTGTGCCTGCATCCCAACATGGGGGATCGGACTCGATGATCTATTGAGGTCCCTTCCGACCCTAACATCTATGAATCTATGAACTGTGCTGGCCCAATGGCATGATCTGGTGCACATAGTCATGTTATCTGGCTTCAGGATTTCCCCATGGGTCTAGAAATTTAGTGGCAGGGGAGTGGTGATGGTGTTAATTGCTGCAGCTCTAAGCTCTACCACCACTCTTCTGCTGTAAAATTTCCAGATCTGTGGGAAGTCCCATAGGCTAGATTAGCATTTCTCAACCTGTAGGTCACAACCCAAAAGTGGGCCACAAGAATATATGAAAGGGTTACAAACAAACTTTAAAAATGGATCAACAAACTTTTAAAAGTAGATTCTGCTTCAAAGGAGAAAAACATGGAGAACCATGGCTTTTCCCTTGCAGGCTGTCAGTTCCAGCCTGCAAGGGGCTGCTTGGGGGCCTCCAGGCCCTACAACATTCCCCCCCGCCCCCCACACACACACACACTCATTGCTCCACACACGGGGAGCTGGAGCGTGGGGGTACAGGTAGAAGGTTGGGAGTGAGGGGTGCTGGGTTGGGACTGGTCCTCGATGTTTACAAATCGGTCCTGGTACAAAAGAGGTTGAGGACCACTGGGCTAGATGACATGGCTCCAAAAACAATATGGCTCGTAGGCCAAAGGTTGAGCATCACTGGCCTAGGATGCTGGCACTGCGAGTTTAGTCTTGGTTTATTGTTCTACCAACAGTAAGAGTTTGGGAGTTTCTCAGTCTTTTCAACAGCCTATTGGCTCAGATTGTACTAAAGATGTGTGGTATCACATCCAACCTTTTGTGGTAACAAACCTATTAAAGTTATAAATCAAGCATTGAAAAGTGAGGAAATACCAGTTCTAAAGTAATCCAAGTCCATATGATTTTGCACCCTTATGTACTTGAATTTTTGTAGTCCTTCATTACCCTTTTTTTTCCATAGAAATATTCCTTCATTTAGAGCACATAATGGGTAGTGTTCATTGAATGAATTGGGTATATGTTGTGAGGTTGTTATCCCTAAAACTCTTTGTTTCTGCTTAGGTGGGGGACTGCAGATGTTTTCCTGGTTAAGCAGAGTTTTAAAAGCTGTCCATTCAGAAACCTGTAATTCTTTTACTATAATGATGATGCATTCTTGTCAAGCAGATGTTCTGGGTATTTCTGCCTTTAAAATACATGTTTGTGGCTTGTGAGATTTTTTTTTTTTTTTTAACCCAGCTCAGTGCAATCAGTTTAACAGTGCACTTCTCAGCTATACTGTGTTTGTTTGTCTGGTGCACTCCTGGAGGGGATAAAATTTTTATCTCTGAATTATATTCAGGTTTTATTACTCACCCCCAGTTAGTTATTATATCGTTTTAATATAAATACTTGCTTTTCAGTTGTTATAGTAGGAAAACCCATGTTTTACAGAAAACATGGAAGGAGGGTTTTTCTATAAACTTCTTTAGCTTTGGAACTTCGTTACTGCTGGAGCCCTGATTTGTTAACTACCTGTACAGAGAGTCCTGGTAGTTAACCTGGGCTAAGAACTTTGCATAAAGTAGTGAAATCTTTATAATAATTTTATTATTATAGTTTACTTTTGTTGGTACTCTATGTATTCCAGAATGTGGGCTGCATATCAACAGAAGTTCTAAAGAAATTAATGAAATATGGTTTAGGTAAATGTCAGTAACTTGCAAATTAGTTTTGTGGTAGACAAGCATATCAGATCATGATGAAATATCAAAGTGAAATTTCATTTTTTGTAGAGGAAAATATGGCAAAGTATTTGGGGACATGATTGATTTTATTTTATATTTTGTTCATTTTGCAAAACTGCCTGATCCATAATATTGAACAGTGGTATTCAATTTAAGAAAGTAGCAAGCTGATTGATATGGTAGTGGTGGTTGTTGTTGTTGTTGTTGTTTACAGCCTTATGACTTGTTTTAGTGAAAGCAGAAATCTCATTGACAGGATTTCTCCTTGATTCTACTCTAATTTGTAGAGTTTAACTAGGCACCTGGGACAAAAGGAATCTCTTTGTTTGTACTTTCACAGGTATCTGTAGTTGCAATACTCAACAAATAATATTTAACATAACTAGTTATTGAATTCATCTTGATTCTGTTCACTGTTTATCTGTGATTTGTACATAATTAAAATATAGCACATTATAGGCAAAAATCAGAAAGTATTCAGCACCTCTTTGCAGTACATTTTATACAGGTATCTTTAAAACCTCCAAAGTACCAAGGGAGAAAAACTTCACAGAACTTCTGCCTTGAATAGTGTTATCATTCCTTAAAAAACACATTTCAGAGAGTAACTATAGAAGACATGCTTGTTATTTTACAACAGCACCTATAGAATGAAAGCTTGGGATTTGGCTCCAAGATTGGAGGCAGGATGACCGTAAGGTTATATGGTGGGCTGGACTGGTATTTAAGAAAAAACTGTCATGTGTTTCCTGGTTCTCTCACTGACTTTGTGGGTTGTCAAATCACCTTCCATATTTTCTCACATACCACATACCCCCAAATAGGACATACGCTTTGTTTTTGGCAGGCAGAGTTACGGCCGACTACCTACAGCAGCTCCCTTGCCCAGACCCAGCTCCAATGGTGCTTTAAACGCAAACAAGTGTTTAACGCTTTCACAGCTGCTTAGGAAGTGGCAGCAGTTTTTGGCTGCTCGGCCAGAAGCTACTCCAAATTCCCTACTGGCTGTCAGAGGTTAACACTGAACTCTGACTTTTCTGCTTCCTGGGCCAGAGAGAAGTGGGAGCCATCTTTGGAGCTATTAGAGTAGAGAGTCTCATCCTTCTGATCCCTGAAGAAAAATCAGCACTTCAGTTTTGTAGAACTGGTTTTGGGGAAAGCATGAACCCAGTTTTGGAGGACTGATTTTAAGGAGGGGAAAGGTGCATCTGGTATGTGAATAATTATGATAATTTTTGTGTTCCTTGTCTGTGAAATGCACACCACACTTCCCTCCTATTCGTGAGCCATAGGAAATTCTACACAGAAACAAAGCAATAGGCCTAGAGAGGTGTTTTGTTGTTTTTGTTTTTTAACCTGCAGCCACTATGTTTAATGTATAATGCACTATGGGTGCATCCCCACATGCAGGGGTGCATGCTTGCAGTGACAAAAATAGCAGTGCCACTACTTTTTGCCACAGAGCACACCCAAGCATGTGTGCATTGGTGTGGGGCAAATTGCCCTGCTTCAGGAAAACTACCTTTCCCCCCCTCCTCCTGGCTTCTGGAGGAGCAGGGGGGCATTAAAGGAGTGGAGCCACTGGCTGGTAACCCGTCTGTCTCCCGGGAGGAATATGTCTCTGCGTCTGCTGGTGCACTCTCCTCTCACGTGCACCATGCCACTTTTTTCGTCCCTTTTTTTTATTTATTTATTTTTTGGTTTTTTGCTACCAGGTAGCAAGATTTGCCCCTGTGCTGCAAATTTGCAGTGTGAGGCACGTTTTAACATTCCAGACATGTGGCTCACAGAGGTGTGCGGCACCACAAACTTCACGTGTCTGCAAGTCGGGATGCAGCCTATGTTTTTTCAAGTTGCATGTTTTGTAAATATACACATTGTTTGAGATCTTTTAAATGTGCTGACTAGTGTGTGTTATTCATTTGAAATGTTCTGCTCAAAAACATCAAATAAATGACTTGTTTTGTGCTGTTATAAACTGAATGTAGTTAGTGCACGGTCACAGAAATATGGGAATTTTATTTATAAAGACAATCGAGAAATATATTCAGCTCTTGAATTATCTAGATAATCTTGCTTTTGCCATTAAAATTAGTAAAAATAACTAAACCATGCTTATTTATCTGTGAGTAGTACTACAATAGTGTCTACAAACTCCCCCAAAGATGCAGACTGTGTAATGATACACTGAAAAATAAATGCAGACTGTGTCACAAAGAGCTTGCAATATAATAAGTCAAGTCAGTGACTTGGCAAAGATTATACAGGAAGTCTGGAGAATGATCCCCAGTCTCTTAAGTCCCACAAGTGCTACAACACTATATTTAATAAAGTCCCTCCTTTTTTTTTTTCCTATTCAGTCACTATTAAGCCACTCCTAAGTTTTCTATTCCTCCATACAATGTGGGTTCACATAAACAGTACAACCTCAGTATAATGTGCCCAACTTATTATAAACTGCCACTTTTGCCAGTCCCAGTACAGGAACTTATTTATTATTTTCATTACTGTGATGCAGCAAATTGACTAGATGCAAGGATTTCTTAGGGTGACATCTTATTGGACCTACTGCATAGCTGGGATAGAGTTATACAAACTTTGAATGCAAGACATTCTTCATCAGGTTGACTAGTCATATAGTTAATACCGTACTTTAATGATTTTTTTTCTTGTCCCATGGAGGTTCATTATAATGCGGGTATGCTATAATTGTGTTCATTAGCGTGCCATCCACACTAGTAATCGTAAACCAAATGTTTCTAAAAATAGCCGCATGGACTACTAAGCAATAAACTTGTTATACCACGTTCGTTATTTCACATTACGTTGTGTTTTGACATATTATGCATGTATAGGTTATGTCTGTATCCACCAGCAACTATAACTTAAAGGATGACTTCTTAATGCCAAACAAAGCAGTGATCATGAGCTGGTAATCTTTGCTGCCCTGCATAATGAATGCAGCACAGACATGATGTGCTCTCTAAGCATTTTCATTCACATCAGACAGTTCAGAGGCTTGGTGAGTCCTGAGTTAATCATCCAGAGCTAAGATTTCTTCAGGTGACAGCTAAGGGAGAAAGCAGAGAGGAGCAACATCCCTTCCGCATAGGATGGTTCCAGGAAAGGGGAAATAAATAATAGTGATTAAAATGATTTAAAGACCTTTTCATTGCACTGTGGTGACTATATGGTAGAGGGGTTTTTGTCTCAATATCTGATGATGCAGAGCTGAAGCAATGTACTGTCAGGATGCATACATGATACATCAACTTGATGTTACACCATCCTACCATTCTTAAAAGCTGAATATTATTGGATTATTTGTCTGTGTTCTCTTCACTTGGTGTAAATTCCTTGATTCTTTGTAAAGTTGACTGAATTACATGCTGCACACACACAACAGTGCATTTTTAGACCCGTGAAGGCATCGGGGGAAACTGGTTGAGGTACAGGATGAATACATTTAAAATTTGGCATCCTAGTTCAGCTGGGATGTACAAGCCTTATTGATGTTCTTGCTAACTCCTCTTTGTATTTTTACATTATGTGTGGGAGTCCTAAGAAGCGTGGGTCACAAATGAAAGTGCATAAGTTTTTTACCTCTTTGTTTTTGAAATGTAGGACTAGAAGGTATGCTCCAGCTCTTGAGATTTAGTTTTAGTATTTGCATGTAGTCACTTATCTAAAGAGTTATAGATATCCTTCTCTCCAGCCTCTCATGCATCTGGAAATCATGTAATGAAAATAAAACCATGTACAGCATGCCTCGGGTAACATGCGGAGCTATAATCAATATTGTGCTGCTGCAAGTGGTAGAGAAGTATTTTGATTAAGATATGATTAGAAAATCCTAAGGAAGAAGCAAAAACCTCCCCAGTTCTAGTTAATCTGAGGTAGGAGAATAAAGCCCTCCAGGATCCAAAACTGGTGATTGATTTGACCCTGATCAGAAGAGCAAGACCCTCCAATCGGGTACTTGAGAGGTTAAAGCACCAGCACACCTCAGTCAAAACTCCCACTTCATGGCTAAGTACAGACAGTCAAAAATCCTGAGGCTGCATCAATTCAAACTAGGCAGTTTTTAATTAGGAAAGGCAGGTGTGCACTGACCCAGACCAGTAGGCAGGGGGTGCTGGAGGACATCTTCCTCTCTGCTGGCCATTGCCAGCCCAGCCAAGTGTCCCCAGGCCCCTGGTGTCCCCCCACAGGGGGTTCAGAAGTCCCCTGCCCAGGTGCTGGCCCACCTTGGGGGAGCCGAGGAGAATTCCCCACACCACCTCCCTCTTCCCAGCTTCTGATCGCTCCAGGAGTTGCCACAAGAGTGAGGGAGGAACACTCCTGGCCATGTGCCTGCCCCTGCAACGCAGCATGGGAGTACCGGGGCGCCCCTGCCTTTTGCTGGGGGTGGGGGGGGAAGGGGAGGGGAGGAGGCCTGCTCCTCCCCTCCCCCAGCCACTGCTGTGTCAGGCTGTGTCACGCTGGCCCCACTGTTACCCCCCCACGTCGAGCCCACTTTCCCCCCTGAGTTGTGCCTGCTCCCCACCATGGTGGCACCAGTAGGGGAAGGGGAGGAGTGGGCCTGAGCCCGATGCGGGGGAGAAGCTGGGCTGCCATGGCTGGTGAAACAGGCCCGGGATAACCCAGCGGTGGCAGCAGGGGGTCAGGAGGAGTGGCCTCAGAGCTGACATGGGGGAGAGGGGGGTGGGGGAGGAGTGGCACCAGGCCTGAGATGGGGGAGGAGGCCTGCTTTTGCAGCCCCAGGAGATGAGGGGAATTCTTCCCAACCCCAACCTTTTGAGTTAGCTGCTGGAGTCCCAGGGAAATTCCTCTGCTCCCCTATATCAATTTTGCCTCAGCCTCACAGCCACTAATGCAAAACCGGCTGTAGAGGAACAAGAGAATTTCCCTCCATTCCCTCAAGCTGCCTGGGACTCGCAGGGGCTGAGGCGAGGATCTAGGGCAAGGTTTGGGAGGGGAGGATTCCCCATAGCTCCTGGGGCTGCCCTGGGCTGGGGTACCCTGGAGCACTCCCTATACGTCACCAATGTAGGCACCCAACGGAGAGGACTTCTCCCTCCCTTCTGTGGCAGCCACTGAAGCAATCAGAAGCTGGGAAGGGGTAGGGGACAGGGATGCCAGGGTCTGAAAAGCCCCCACCACAGTGGCTTTCCCTCCCCCCATGTGCTTTGTAGACCCTGGCTAGAAGGGCTGGGGGGTGTGTTGCCCTGCCCCTCCCCTCCCCTCCCATCCCTATGGCCTGGCGAATACAGGCAGGGAGCAGGCTAAGAAGCAGAGGGGTGAGCCAGCCCCTTCTCCACTGGAGCAGGCAGCATAGCCCAAGGGTGCAAAGGATTCTGGGGGACTGTGAGTTAACTTGCACCAGGAAGGGGTCTGGGGCAAAAGTCCCATAAACCAGTTTGACCCAAATCAGTTAAGTGTGGCACTACATCCAACCAGGTTGATCTTAAACCAGTTTTGGTCATTCTGAAAGCAGTTTATGTGCACTGAACTTCTGTTCTCTTACAGGTATAAACCAGTTTCCAGTCACTTAAGCTGTTTTTTGTGTAACTTCTCTCCCTAGCCCAACGGTTAGTCTGTAGTTGTGGCCAACCATTCAGAGGAAGGTGTGTGTATATGTGTGAGAGAGACACCCAGAAACCTATTACAAACAAACAAACAAACAAACAAACAAAAAAACCTTGTTAGAGAAAGTAATTTCTTGCTGGGCCCTACAGGCAATGACACGAGCCCTGAACCATGGGATTTTCAAACACTTCTTGCACAGCGTTGCCTCTCAGCCATAATATGGGCATTGCCAATGTGTGAATCCAGTGTCACAGATGAAGGAGCCATCCCCTCCCCCTCTATCATACCATTCCTTCTGTACTCTTGTTGAGCTCACTTTCAAA